TAACGTGACGGGCTATTCAGCTGCGTTGTAGTTCCTGAGGAAGGACTGCTACCTTTTATTGAGTCATTATGCATGTTGCCATTCGCTGAATCTATCTTTCTACATTAACCGATAGATCATGAAGGTTGAAAAGGACAGACCTAGTTGGGTAACCATAACCACTATTTTCCGAATACAAATATAAAGCTATGGCACGTGTCCGTGTCGGGGGACAAAGGATGGATTAGGTGTAAAAGACAAAATTACGGAATGGCTGTCACTGGAAAGACCGGAGAAAAACAGGAGAACACTGGTAATATATCTAGACTTTCAGGCCTTTATATATGCATTTAGCCCATTCTAAAAGCTAGATCCCTGGTAAAGATATGATAAGTACGCAATTGACACCCTTGCACGGCCAGTATCATATGTTGTTAATCCCTAAAGCCGAAGCTTTAAAGTCCTGAGGGCAAATTTTCTAGCCGCAGTCAGGGTATCCATTCTGATTGGAAACTTTCACTACAGTATCCTGGCTGCTTACGCCAAACGCATATTGCCGAAGAGGCTCCCTTGCTTTCATGATTGGATAATAGCAACGTTCCAAGGGAGAACGACCGGGGCTAGTAATGATCAGTCCTCTATAGATAGCAATATCTATCGTTTAATTTGGTACTCGTCTCGGTGTCTCCTGTAAGCATGGCCAGGGCTGACTCCTGTATAGGTGGTGGTAAGCTGTAGATGGAACCTGGTATAGACTATATATGTACTTTATTATATAATCAATAAGAGTTTACAGCATGCTATACGCCGTAGTATGCAACATTTGCTTCCTTTTATCAAGTGACCAGACTTTTACAAGCATATATGTTAAACTTGCTAAATCTCTGGAGTTGGTAACAGACGACGTGTCTTACGAGAAATCTATGAGTAAATAATGAGCCCAGGCGAGGTTATTCATGATGGCAAGTGTGTCGGGATGCTCTCTACCCAGCACCTGCTCCCTCAGCTCCAGTGTCTATCGATACATCTGCTCTACCTCTTCGTATTTCCCCTAGCTATAAAAAACAAGAGCAAGGTTATTCATACTGGCAAGTATGTCGGGATGCTCTCTTCCCAGCACCTGCTCCTTCAGCTCCAATATTTGTCGGTACATCTCTTCTACCTCATTATACTTGCCAAGCACGGAGTAACTTTCCGCCACATTGAAAAGAAAACCGGTCTCTTTATCAGCACACTCATTTCGAAATTGTAATACCGCCTATCCATGTGGTGGATATCTCATCCAGATAGCTCGGTTCTTGTGCTCAGGAAATGGATATTCATTGGTAAGATGTTGAAATACCTCTGTTACCCATTTTTGCCGCTCTCCATTTATCTGCAGCCAATCTCGCATAACCAACCAAACAAATTAATGGATATCAAACAAGTCTGGTTCTTTGCGTTTTATTATGAATGCATATCCCTTTAGCGTATCAATAGTTTTATCTATTTCTCGTTTGCTTTTTCCTGGAGGTAGTAACAAGATTGGTATGTTTTTCTCAGCTAAAAAGCAGATAAACCTGAGATATTATGCAGCAAATGGATTGGACTGCAAGATATGCTTAAAGTTAACCAAGCTATAACTACTGGGTTTTTAGAAGCCTCATAACGGCCACAATCTCAGAAGTCTTTGCTTAACAACTCGACCATATCCTTATCGCTCGATTGACAATAATACAAGTATTTAGTCGTTAATATTCCATTTTCGAACATGTAAGCGGATGCCTGCCTAATAGCCAGAGGAAGATCCGCTAACAAATCTAGCAACTCTATCGTGCTTTTCTTATCATGCCATTGGCTTTTTTATTTCATATATTTCTTCAATATTTCGAATAATTCTTCTTAGCTCATTTCTCCGATATTTATCAAACCCTCGAGTGATATATCAAGGTTTGAAACTATGGAATGATTCCTAGTCGTGAAAAGGATAGAGCCGTTCCAATTGAATGGGAGATAGTCTGAAAGTGTTGCATCGGCAAATAACTTGAGATCATCGGCGTTATCGATAACCAAGAGCCAGCTGCCGGCGCTCTTGTGACTGAGGGCAGCCTTGACGAGCATCTTGGCATCTGCCTTGTCATCTTCAATTCCTTTTACCCCAAGCTGATGGCCGATGTCACGATAAGCATTTTCAAAACTGGTGGCATCGACAGCCGGAACCCAGAAGACGGAGCAATCAGGATGTTTGTCACGGACTTGGTAGGCGGTCTCGAGGGCGATCTGGGTCTTGCCGATGCCTCCGAGACCTTCGAGCCGAGACCTTCGAGGG